ACATCACTAAGACCTAGCAAGTGTTGACATCACTAAGACCTAGCAAGCGTTGACATCACTAAGACCTAGCAAGCGTTGACATCACTAAGACCTAGCAAGCGTTGACATCACTACGACCTAGCAAGCGTTGACATCACTAAGACCTAGCAAGCGTTGACATCACTACCTAGCAAATGTTGACATCACTACCTAGCAAGTGTTGACATCACTACCTAGCAAGCGTTGACATCACTACCTAGCTAGTGTTGACATCACCACCTAGCAAGCGTTGACATCACTAAGACCTAGCAAGCGTTGACATCACTAAGACCTAGCAAGCGTTGACATCACTAAGACCTAGCAAGTGTTGACATCACTAAGACCTAGCAAGCGTTGACATCACTACGACCTAGCAAGTGTTGACATCACTAAGACCTAGCAAGTGTTGACATCACTAAGATCTAGCAAGTGTTGACATCACTAAGACCTAGCAAGCGTTGGCATCACTAAGACCTAGCAAGCGTTGGCATCACTAAGACCTAGCAAGCGTTGACATCACTAAGACCTAGCATGTGTTGACATCACTAGTGTTTAATCCTTGTCAGTCTTCAGTTGTACAAGCCACGATAGCTTCATGAAAATAATATTGTGGGTGATTTATACAGTGCGTAGGAGGGAGGGGGGTGGCGGAGGTGCGATATGTCGTGACCTACCCGCATGTTTAGGGTAATGGGATTTTGTAGCAGCGCAGTTCAGGGCATGTTTTTAAAGCCATTTTAATGCAGTTTGCTGGCAGTTCTGAACGTGTTTTTAAAGCCATTTTAATGCAGTTTGCTGGTAGTTCTGAACGTGTTTTTAATGCGAGTTTAATGCAGTTTTGCAGGGATTTATGTTTCTATGGACGGCTTAGCTAAGGCAATGCAGTTGTGATGGACTGGAACTTATCTTGGGGCTGTCGTTAGAAGCAATTTCCATCTTAAGCTATAAGAGAAATGAGTCACACTTTATCCCGTGGGTGAGGAAGTGTGTCACTATATGAGTAATATGATACATTCGTTTTTCTGAGTAATATAAGCAAATGTACTAAGGTAGAAGCTAATGAACATTAATTGTGTTTCATTGAACATTCTGCATCAAAGGAACAGTCTCGCCAATTAGGCGAGTTGTGTTAAGGTAAATTACTAATTACTAATTAAGGTAAAATCGTTCGATGGAGACCGATCTAGTGCGCGAATACGATATTTAAACGAAATTAAAATTATTTAAATTACGATGTTCAACGTTAAAAAAATTTTTCGTGACTGTTCCAGTGCTCAATGGAGATATGCAGCCAACATATCTCCATTATCTCTGGTATCACTTTAAGCTTTTGCAATAGCTACACAATATGCTCGCTTGCAAATTAAAAAAATATAAATTTTGCGTCATTTTTAACAATTTTACACGATTTTTCCAGATGGTTCTTTAACATTTTTTTACTTTCAACGTCCTCTGAACCCACCTGGTCAATTTCCTTGTTTTTAACGACTCCCTGGACCACTTGAAGTGGGCAAATGTAGCACACGAAATAAGACGTCGAGGTCATGGGAAAGTGAGATGAATTTGCATCTTAAGCAGAAGTGCGCGCTCGTTTTCAGGAAAACGAACGAGTGAAATATAGGAATTACTGCACCCTAGCCTCCATACAGCGCGCGTTGTTTTTAATTGCTTTGTGCGTTTTCAGCGCGCCTTCATGAACAGACTAGACGAAGCTATGCAGGAGCATATGTTCAGTCTTAAAATGCCTAGCAAATTACGGACCAGGCAATAAGTCCAGCAGCTATCTCAATCAATCGTCAGCTATAGAAAGATCGGGTTCCAAAGGCCGGATCCCTTGTGAATCAAGTCACAAAAAATTCAAGAATCGGCAACAGGCCATGGGCCTATTTCTTCAACGCCGACACTTCTTTTCTATTCTATTTCATTAAAAATCATGAGTTTAGAAGTTAAGTTGTATATCTTATCGTACTTTTAGAAGTTGAATTTTAGTTTTCAACTTTTTTTTAGGTTATAAGTTAAGCTTTATAATTTTTAACAGAGTTTTTATAGTTATAAGTTAATTTATAGTTTTTAACCATGTTTTTTAGTTTATAAGTTTAGTTTTAGTTCTTATAACCGAATGTTTTTTAGCTTAGAATTTAAGCCCTAATTTTGACAAAGTTTTTAGTTTAGATGTTGAGTTTAAATTTTTAGCCGAGTTTTCACTTTGGTAGTTAAGTATTAATTTTCTATAGAATTCTTTAGTTTAGATGGTTAGTTTTAGTTCTCAATCCTGTTTTATTGTTTTGAAGTTGAGTTTTAGTTTTTAAAAGCACCAGTCAGTTTAGAAGTTGAATGAAGTTTTTCAACAGAGTTTATAACTTTTAAAGATTTTTTTAGTTAGACATGATTTTTTTAGTTCAGAAGTAAAGTTATAATTCTTGATCGAGATATTTAGTTTAGAAGGTAATATTTGTTTTTTAACAGCGTTTTTAGTTTAGGACTTGAATTTAAATATTTGATCGCGTTTTCTTCTTTAGAATTTGAGTTTTAGGTTTAATCTAAATTTTTTTTAGTTAAGATATTAAGGTTTCTTTTTTAACAGGATTTTGTAGTTTAGAAGTGAAGCTTTAGTTTTTGACAATTTTTTTAGTTTAAAAGCAAGATTAGTTTGTAATGCAATTTATTAGCTAAGTAGTTAAGTTCAACTGTTTAAGTTTATGGGACTTTGTTGAACCGTTCCGCAGATTTTCATTTCAGGTGATCATTATTGTTCCTAATGATACAGGTAAGAATACCATGCCTAATGATAAAGGTACGAATTCCATACCTAATGATACAGGTAAGAATACCATACCTAATGTTACAGGTAAGAATACCATACCTAATGTTACAGAGAAGAATACTATACCTAATGTTACAGGTAAGAATACCATACCTAATGATACAGGTAAGAATACCATACCAAATGATACAGGTAAGAATACTATACCTAATGATACAGGTAAGGATACCATACCTAATGTTACAGGTAAGAATACCATACCTAATGTTACAGAGAAGAATACTATACCTAATGATACAGGTAAGAATACCATACCTAATGATACAGGTAAGAATACCATTATGAATAAAGGAAGCCTGCGTCGGTCCCTGCAAATTAAGGTTACACGTAATTCATTCATGTATGGAATGATAAATTTGTATTGATCGAATTCATTATTAAGCATTTAAACGTAAACTTAAATTCTGGGTTTAATTTTCTATTTAATGGCGAAACGCAAATGGCGCACAAACAGAGATGGGCTAACTTAACATTTTGGTAAGAATATCATTATGTGTAAGTGGAGTAGGTAGTAGCATTAAGCTTTGCTATTTTTATTGCGAAATTCATGCGAAATTCGAATGGCATTTGACCTAACCTCTTGACCTGGCCACGCTCCGCTAAATCTTGCTCGTTCTCCTCTTACACTACTTATTGTGTAAATTATTTAATCATTTAATCATCATTCACATTCATTCTTTATATAAATATTTATTAAACCCCCGTGTTTGATCTTCCACTGTTTATTGTATAATTTTTTCTATTGTTCACGTCATTCACATTCATTCTTCATAAAAATATTAAAAAAAAACCCTCGTGTTTGAAGTCTGGCATCACAAATATAAATGAAATGATGTCACACGTTTGCTTAAATCGCAAGTTCACTAAAAATTCAAAAGTAAAGAATAGTCCACAAAAATTCATATCTTTATTGAAAACGTTTCTTAGTCCAGCTCCATCGTCAGCTTACAAACTGACGATGGAGCTGGACTCCGAAACATTTTCTATAGAGACATTAATTTTTGTGGAGTTTTCTTTAATTCTAAATTTTTAGTAAATATATATGAAAATATATTTGAATTATTGCTGGCCAAGATACTCATCTTGACTGTCAAATTAAAACGGGTGGGATATTTTCTGAAAATTTTATGTATAATTATTTAATTCTGTGACAATGAAAAATGGAATTAGAGTTAAAATTAGAATTAAAATGTGATTTATAATTTTATTTGTGTGAAATTTAGTTCAAAAAGATCAAATTTGTTTTCCCGGTAAATTTCATAGAAGGACTTAAACGGAAATTTCGTCTTGAGAATAGGACGCATCTTTATTCAATTTCATTACTCATTATTATTGTGATTATTGATTGTGCCAAGGATTACGGGATTTCAGATGACGGGATTTTTTAGAACGGGACTCACAAATTGGAAGGATTATCTATACCGTGAAACGCCGGGCTGATTAGTGAGAATATAATACATATTTTTTAAATATTACGAATGATGTATAAATAGAGAATATATAAATATATATTGTATTAATATATGCTGAATAAAATATATTGTAATTATATATAATATACGTTAAATCGTTTTCATGATTATCCCTTTTTTGGTATGACTGCGTGAGTTTTAGCGTCTCCATTTTTCTCACTCACTTGGGTTATTCTATGTGAATATCAACGAGTGAATTAATCTTAGAGATATCCTTGATCAGATAAGTATAGGTGAGCGACATGAGTCACCATTGCTCTACTTCATTTCTTTCAATAATAGTTTTTTTGAAGAATTTTTTAACTCTCTGTTACAGTTGGAGAAGTTCGACATAAATAGTGTAAATTGTGATTGTTTAATTTCAAGTAAATTTATTTCATTATTTGCCATTTCATTTTATAACTATTAGTTAAATTTAATTCAATTAATAAAAAGCTATTCCGGATAGTTTCGTAGGCAGTCATTTCTTTGCATTTTTAAAATAAAAAGTGAAATTATATTCTCACCAATAGTCACAAAATATTAAAAACAGCGTATATTTTTTATATAATTCCGGAAAAAATTCTTACATTGGCTCACCAAAGCTGTCTTTACTGTTATTCATATATTTGACCACTAAAGTCACATTAAATAAGCACCAACTAATTTGGTAATTACCTTTAATAATTAGATATTCAACATCTCACCTGATCTCAATTGCCGTTGTTAAAAACTCGGTAATTTTTTTTTAATCGTCGTGTTGAAAACTCGGTAAATTTTTTTCAGTCGTCGTCTTATTCTCGCGCGAGGCGTTCGATGTGACGCCCGTCGTGCCTGGGGTCGGAGTGAGGGCTGGCGGTGCAGCGTCGGGCTTATATAGCCTGCCTCTACCCTCCTGGGGTCTGTGCCCCGGGCTTATATAGCCTGCCTCTACCCTCCTGGGGTCTGTGCCCAGGGCTTATATAGCCTGCCACTACCCTCCTGGGGTCTGTGCCCCGGGCTTATATAGCCTGCCACTACCCTCCTGGGCTCTGTGCCCCGGGCTTATATAGCCACCCTACCCTCCTGGGCTCTGTGCCCCGGGCTTATATAGCCAGCCTACCCTCCTGGGGCCTGTGCCCCGTGCTTACATAGCCAGCCTACCCTCCTAGGGTCGTGCCCCGGGCTTATATAGCCTGCCTCTACCCTCCTGGGGCCTGTGCCCCGGGCTTATATAGCCAGCCTACCCTCCTGGGGCCTGTGCCCCGGGCTTATATAGCCAGCCTACCCTCCTGGGGTCGTGCCCCGGGCTTATATAGTCTGCCTCTACCCTCCTGGGGTCGTGCCACGGGCTTATATAGCCAGCCTCTACCCTCCTGGGGTCTGTGCCCCGGGCTTATATAGCCTGCCTCTACCCTCCTGGGGCCTGTGCCCCGGGCTTATATAGCCTGCCTCTACCCTCCTGGGGTCTGTGCCCCGGGCTTATATAGCCAGCCTGTACCCTCCTGGGGTCTTAGGGCTGCTGCTCACGTTGTCTCGGCTGGTCTCGTGGCTCACGTCGCTGGGATCTTGAAAAAAAAATCGAAATTATATTTTCGCTCATGCAGACTGAATGTTTGTAAGCATTGGGGGCTCCTAACTTTGCAGGCCTACAATCTCGGTCTACTTCAAGCCTTGTTTTGCTACAGACCTTGTATTGATACAGACCAAATGTTGCTGTAAACCTCTTATTGATACATGCCATCTGTTGGTGTAGACCTCGTGTTAAGGCAGACCATGTGTTGCTGAAGCCAGTTCTATTTATCTTTTTGAGTACTTAGGTCTGCTGCTCATCTTGTTCCAATTATGTGCCTGAGTGCCTTGGTCTGCTGCACCTCTTGTTCCAATTATGTGCCTGAGTGCCTTGGTCTGCTGCACCTCTTGTTCCAATTATGTGCCTGAGTGCCTTGGTCTGCTGCACCTCATGTTCCAATTATGTTCTTGAGTGCTCAGGTCTGCTGCTCATCTTGTTCCACTTATGGGTTTGAGTACCCAGGTCTGCTGCGCTTTTTGTTACAGTAAATAGTTTCAGTGCATAGCTCATCCTGCTACCAATCAAACATATAGTGTAGTTGTGGGAAGCCATCGAAACTCTCCAGCGTCAATTGGCTGCATCAGACTTTGTCGAGACTCAAACCTCAATCACAAGATCTAATCTCGATGTACAAGACAAGAACATAAGCTTTGAAGCACACCAAGAAAGAAGCAACAAATCAACGTATTGATGTTCATAAGCGTTTATTCATTATTATAGTTTGCAACACGCAAATATTTGAATACAGTAATGTAATGAGATGTTGCAACCACGAATTATTCGTAATCCTAAACCTACCAGTCATGTAGGCAAGATGGAGTTCTTGGATCCTCAAACATTCTTTAATGTTAATGATAGAAAACCATTATAAAAAAAGAAGCATTAAACTTAATTAAACAGAGCAGCTCTACAAAAATTTGAATTTTGGTCTCTAAAGGTTGAAAAAATGGACGCTCCGCCCCTGACCAAAACTGTGTTGTGGCCGCCTCTTATATTTGGAAACATTAGCAACTCATTTGATGTTACGTTATGCCCTAAGCCGTTATAATTGTAGGTGCTGTTATGCACCATGCGCTGTTTTTGTGCTGTATTTTAGGTGCCGTTATACACCATGTGCTGTTATTGTGCTGAATTGTAGATGCTGCTATACAACATGTGTTGTTATTGTGTTAAATTGTGGTGCTTTAATGCACCTTGTGCTGTTAATGTGCTGTATTTCGGGTGCTGTTTTACACCAGGTGCTGTTATTGAGTTGTATTTTAGTCGCTGTTATGCACCATCTGCTGTTATTTTACCGTATCTTAGGTGTGGTTATGCACCATCTGCTGTTATTGTGCTGTATTTTAGGTGCTGTTGTACACCAGGTGCTATTATTGTGCCGTATTGTAGGTGCTTTTATGCACCATGTGCTGTTATTGTACTGAATTTTAGGCGCTGTTATGAACCATGTGCTGTTATTGTGCTGTATTTCGGGTGCTGTTATGAACCATGTGCTGTTATTGTGCTGTATTTCGGGTGCTGTTATGCACCATGTGCTCTTTTTGTGCTGTATTTCGGGTGCTGTTTTACACCAGGTGCTGCTATTGAGTTGTATTTTAGTCGCTGTTATGCACCATGTGCTCTTTTTGTGCTGTATTTCGGGTGCTGTTTTACACCAGGTGCTGCTATTGAGTTGTATTTTAGTCGCTGTTATGCACCATGTGCTGTTATGAACCAGGTGCTGCTATTGTACTGAATTGTATAGGTTTTGTTTCATGGAACGGAGAACCGTGCATAGTTAAAACGTTCACTCCTATGCACGGTCTCTCACTTGTACCTACCTCTACTACCTCTATTGTAGACGACTCATCACTGTATGAAAATATTCATGTATATTCATGTATATTCATGTATTCATAACGCTCACTCCCCACCTACAACAGCCAAGTTTACTGCCACTTGCCACCCATGTATGTTTGATGAGTAGATTGTATATGCCACGATTTGGCTGCGCTACTCGGTCGTTAGGGCGGATAGACTTGACCTTGAACGACCGTCATGCGCTAGTGAGGCAAAAGGCCTTCTGTAGAAATTCTACTCTGTGAATAATTTTTTATTCATATTCATTCGCAATTTTTTGTTCGAATTAACTAACTTTGGCGCCTTCTGCGAAAATTCTACACTGTGAATCATTTTTCATTCATATTTATTCGTAATTTTTTGTTCGAATTAGCTAACTTTGGCGATAAATTTTTAATCCGTTCAGTTATTATTCGCTAAAATTAGCTATATTCACGCAATATTTTTTTTAACGCTTTATATCATTTGTAATTTTTTTGTTTAGGAAGTTTTCGGCGATAAATTTGGGATCAGTTCAGTTATTATTTGCTAAAATTTCGCTATATTCTTGCACAATTTTTTAACGCACTATATTTTGACGCGCAGTGGCAGTAAACTTTGAAACATATTTAGCCGTGATACTAATTTTAATTTGTGATATTCCAGCTCACTTGTGGTTGAAATGGAGTATACATTCCAAAAATTTGAACCGTAAAAAAATTTTTGAATTTCTATATTAATTACAGTGTCCCTTAAAACTACGAACAAACTTATTAACAAACGCTGAACGTTTGTCGAAATAGAGAGAAAGTTTATCGTCCAAAAAATGAACCGTAAAAAATATTCTGAATTTCTATATTTATTACAGTTTCCCTTGAATATATGAACAGGTTGATTTGCAAACGCTGAAAGATTGCTGCTGCCATGGCTCTATACGCCTGCGCTGCATGGCTATGGCTAGCCGGGGCTGTTGTAGAACTGAATATAAATTTGTTAATTGCTATTTACGCTTTACAGCACAGGGGCCATACTTTCAAAACTCGCTAAGTAAACGTAAGTAATTACGCTCTATTTTCTTGTCTATGATTGGTGGATTTTTCTTGAAAGGCCGTCAATGATTGGCTGATGAACTTACGAACTCTTAACTTTTTTTGAAAGTATAGGCCCAGATGTTTAGGATGCGAGCTGCGGCTAGTGCGTGAAATATAAATGAATAGAAAAATTAATATGGACGTTCAGACTGGAGATAAGACTGATAACGACATCAAATATAAACGAATTGATGCAAAATAAAAATGGTTGTTGATATCAAAAGAACTGTCCCATCTATCGAGGAAATGTTCCCCTAATAATGGAAATTGTTCCATTAGAAAAGGAAATGATTCGAAATACTGAGATTGATTAAAGCGATTCCATAGAAGTTGACCTTAAGAAATCAAGAATAAGAGGAGTCCGCTATATAGGGGCAACTCATATATTCTAATCTGAAATAGAATTACTAACTTTATTTAGCTTATAACTTAATAAATTTTTAAATTCAAATTTAAATTATCCCAAACTAAACCAAAACCCTGTCTCGTCGTCGTAGGACGGCTTGGCCATTTCCTGTAAACTACACCAAATTTATTTCATTACTTAAATAATCTCAATAATGAGATACTCAATTGTCTCAATATGAGATACCCTATTACCCTCAATGAGATACTCTATTACCCTCAATAATGAGATACTCTATTACCCTCAATAATGAGATACTCTATTACCCTCAATAATGAGATACTTTATTACCCTCAATGATGAGATGCACTATTACCCTCAATAATGAGATACTCTATTACCCTCAATAATGATACTCTATTACCCGCAATAATGAGATACTCTATTACCCTCAATAATGAGATACTATTACCCTCAATAATGAAATGCTTTATTACTCTCAAATGCGAGCAAATTGACGGTGAGTTTGCATCGTTAGGTTCTCAGTTAACATCAAACAAATAGTTTGATGTGTGTGTAATAGAAAAATGTATATGATAGAGACACCAAATATAATTATAAAATATAATATCAAACAAATAGTTTGATGTTGATAAAGTTTTGAAATATTCGCATCGCTGTGAGTAAATCTTCGAAAAAATATTAAGGACCCGTTTTTTGAACTTAAACTTGCCAAAAAAAATTTCAACATATAACATGGAAAGTGTATGAAAAATATAGGTTATGCATTTTAGCTAATAAACAGCGTCAATCTCATCTCCAAATCTTGCATGAATCATGATTGTAATTAGTTAATAAAATTACAATATATGAATGATTAATAAGTAATTTTGCTTAAGAAAATGCACTGCGTGTAGCCTGCTATCATCATCCCTACTGTGATCATGTTAATTAGTTTCATGTTAATTAGTAATTCATATTAATTAGTAATTTCTATCATGATCATAATTAAAATGATTGAATAATCATGCGTTTGATTTAATTTTAATTCATTGGAAGTAATTTTCACGGTCTTGTGTCGTACAGCGCTAGGCAACACAGAAAACGAAACATGGAAAAATCTACGGATGGTGTCATCAACATTGAAGTACCTCTAATACATATATACAGGGTGAACCAGAATTAACTGACCCTTTTAATTTGTTAATAAATAAAAAACTAAGAACGTTATGAAGTTGAAACTTTCGATTAGATATGGACTGGTTGTATGGCATGGTTGCGATTAGATATGAACTGGTTGTATGGCATGGTTACGATTAGATATGGACTGGTTGTATGGCATGGTTGCGATTAGATATGGACTGGTTGTAGGGCATGGTTGCGATTAGATATGGACTGGTTGCGATTAGATATGGACTGGTTGTATGGCATGGTTACGATTAGATATGGACTGGTTGTATGGCATGGTTACGATTAGATATGGACTGGTTGTATGGCATGGTTGCGATTAGATATGGACTGGTTGTGAGGCATGGTTGCGATTAGATATGGACTGGTTGTATGTCATGGTTGCGATTAGATATGGACTGGTTGTAAGGCATGGTTTGGCATGGTTGCGATTAGATATGGACTGGTTGTAAGGCATGGTTGCGATTAGATATGGACTGGTTGTAGGGCATGGTTGCGACCATAGAGTGGTGCTCGCAAGCTCGACAGTTTTGAGAATTATTATTAAAACCATTTGCGAGTTTATGTCAAAAAAGAATTGATTTTTCTAAGCTATTAAAAAACAAGTTAATAAAGCAGATAAACCTCTTTTGCTGATCAGACGCTCAAACGAGTACTTGGATGCAACCGCGATGACGCTCATTATTCATTTTGAGTAATTTTGTAAATTTTTTCCCCATTTCGATATGTAAAAAATTTTAACAGGTCAATTGTCTCCACTTCAATCGAGTTATCAAGGGCGGAAAATAAAAGTACATAAATTACAAGCAGTTTATTCAATTCCCTAACATTATTCCTGAAAGAAAGCGCATTTTATTTATCCATAAAAATTCTAATATACTTTGAAATTGTGACAATTATTCCTATGACGTTTTTTCATTTTTTTCTGTTAGATTGGAAGTCAAACATTAGTGATCGTCTAATGGAAATTTTAAGCTATTTAATTTAAAGAATCAAGAGTTTTGGCCGTAGATTCTTGTTTTTCAAAAATATTTGCAGTTTATTGTATTACTGGAGGCGTTTCGGTAGTGTAGTGTTCAGAGTTTGCGACTAGTTTACGTAGAAAATATATTGGTAGTTTACAAGACTAGCCATTTACTGCACGTCTTTTACGGGAAATAAACAAGAACATGTCATTAAAATTTAAATGTAAATGCATGAAAAGTTATAAGAGATATCGATACGGAAGATATGGCGTTTCCGTACTTTGAGTTTTTTTAATGAAGCGAAATCCATTCATAATGCAAACTTATGAATGATACAGACCTTATGGTAATAAAAGGAATTTAAATGATATAGTATGGTTAACTATAATTCCCCCAATCTTAGGTAGACATATTTTTTTTAAAATCGCACTCCCTCAAAAAATGTAACTATTTTATCCTTTGATATTGAAATAATTTCATAATTAATAATTTCATTTCAGCTATGGAAATAATTTCTTAATTAATAATTTCATTTCTGCTCAGGAAATGATTTTATAAATATGAAGATAATGACAATGATTTGTCAACTCTATGATATACTTACGTCTATTTACTATCACAGAAACGTCTATTCTCAGACCAAATCTCGAATACTTAATCTTATATGGTAACAGTAACAAAGCTGCTTATGTAATGCCACAATATACTTAAAGCTATGACTTGCACTACACTAAAACATTGATGGCGTAAGAGACGGCATACACCGTTAGAAAAATTACCGTTAACGGTATTACCGGCGTTTCAGTGGCCGGTCAGCACGTGAAAAGAAACACCGTGTCGCCGTTTTTATTCTAATTTAACAGTAGAAATCCGTAAAACATCTAATGAGAACGGCGAAACAGTTTATTTTCACGAAGCGACCGGCCACTAGAAGGCCAGTGGGACCGTTTTTTCACCGTTTTTTCTAACATTGTACCTGAGTGAGGATCTTTGACTGATCAATGCTCATTCAGGGCCACAAAATTGGAATAATATTATATAGAATATATTTTTAGCGCATTTTCTCATTTATGGAAAAAAATGCACTATTGTGCTCGCATGTCCGTCTGTCCGTCCGTCCGTCCGTGACCTCGAGTTTTCGTCGGCGAGAAAATGCGCGCTCTGTCACTCACTGCAGTGAGTACTGAGTTATATTTTTATATATTGCTACATGACCGAATTATTTGCAGTCACAAAGTCATAATTAAGGTGTGGCTGAAATTCTGTCAAATGGCTTAATTCTCGCCGTAAAAAAGTTTGTCACAGATCAGAATTATTGCATCAGAATTCTTTATCAATAGAGTCGTGGAGAATTTTTTAAATTTAACCAAATGAAGAAGATACAGTAGAGGAAATTTACAATATTAATCTCAGCAAACTTAACGATAAAAAATTGTCCGAAGGTCTGCCGACTTATGTTTTTTAATATATGATTTGTAAAGAAAATTTCAGGCTCTTTGGCGTTGAAATAATAATATAATTTTTAAATAAAAGTTAGTTAAATCGCAGAAGAGATAAATTTATAATTCGTTGAAAAATTTATAGTTTTTATAATCCAAGTTTTAAAAAAAATGGTAATTTTATAATCCCTCTTTTCAAGGAAGACGATTTTCCAAAAAAATCAAAAGCAAATTGCGAATCTTGTGGAAAATATTTAGCTACTGTTTATCATCCGTCTTTAAATGTTGTTAAGGTTTAAAGCGAAGCGAAATAACCCTCAATGCCCAGCGAAAGCATGCGTAAGCGTGAATGTAATGATGGAATAGCGACAGGTTACAGTGAATCTTTTGGTGCACGTTTCTGCCAGAGAATTAGTTGAATATACTTTCTTTTTTACAAAACAACATTTGCACAGAGCGACACTTACTCAAAACAACATTTGCACAGAGCGACACTTGCTCAAACAACATTTGCACAGAGCGACACTTGCTCAAAACAACACTGGCACAGAGCGACACTTGCTCAAAACAACATTTGCACAGAGTGACACTTGCTCAAAACAACATTTGCACAGAGCGACACTTGCTCAAAACAACATTTGCACAGAGCGACACTTGTTCAAAACAACATTTGCACAGAGCGACACTTGCACAAAACAACATTTACACAGAGCGACACTTGCACAAAACAACATTTGCACAGAGCGACACTTGTTCAAAACAACATTTGCACAGAGCGACACTTGCTCAAAACATTTGCACAGAGCGATATTCATGCTGAACGATATTAGAACTGAACATATTCTCCTGATATGATATGAATATTGCATTATTTATTGCAATATGACAACGCCTTCATAGAATGCGCAGTCGCCAGCCAAAACATACACTGCAGTATTATGTTATAAGAGAACAAATCGAACAAACCATTTCTATACCTTCATGGCTAACAGAATTGATTTTATCCTGTTGTACTTTAAAATAAAAAAGTTATTTATTTTGAAACTGAATTCATCGAAATTATTTGATTCGAGGACGAATCTAATCACGAGCCGAAATAATGATTGATTAATATGATTGTATAACTTAATCTAAATCTAAGGTATTGAGCACGTCATATATAATATACAATAAAACTTGTACTTCTACAAGCACATGGCTATGAAATGAAAGATATATACAAATGTTTCATAGGCATCACCATAGGCCATAGCACCGGGTGTTGAATTCAAAAAGTAAAGCCAATGGGGTGGTCATAAAATCATTTTAAATAACAATCTTCACGTCAATAAAAAGATTGAAACTATAAACGAAGCGCAGAAATAAGGATTTTGGTTAGTTTTGTTTATAAAATATTCACAGGTAACGCCACAACGCAAGCAGTTCACTTTTACGTTGTGATTGCAAATTTGTTCATTTCATTACAAACAGAAGTTAACTTAAACATATTGCACACATTTTTTGTTAATTTATAATGCTAACTTACTTGCGCTTATTGGTTTAAAATTTAAAGGATCAACGTGAGTAATTTGATTACCAATAAACTCGCATGATATAAATATCTCAATCTATCCAACCTGTTTGAATGTATGTACACTATGAATATACAAATAATGCACAACGCTCTTATGGGCATTAGAATCAACAATAATAAACTAAATCCTCCAAATGACATATTAATTCATATTGAAATATTCATCAATTCCTATAGTCCTTTAAAAAACTAAATTCTATCATTAAAAGCTGCACTCTATCTTGGCCGTTGGCTGCTACATCCGAAAAAGCTACAGGACCGTCAAATAACCAGATATTTCAGTCGACTGAAGCAACTCACTAAGCCAAAACGCTTTTCAAAACATTATGAATTTACTAAATATAATAACAAACAGCCCTCAGTTATTTATTTATTCAGTTATTTAGTTATTTTATTTTGTTCCCAGTGAAAATTTACAGACGCGGCAGCTTCTGATTTGGATTACCAGAAGCTGGGGCGACTCTAAATTTTGTTAGGTTGTAGCTACTATCAAGAGAAGCGGCGTAGCAAACTCCTGACAGGGGCGTAGACGAGGCGCGGGGCGTGCTGTGAGAAGAAGAAGTCGACGTGCGTGAAGTCCACGTCGGGGATCTGGTGCTGGTAGACGACGTGTGGTAGCTCCCTGATGCATCGTCGCACGTCCTGTGCGTCACAAGCATCGTGGTCACATACTAAATTTATTTTAATTAATTTTCCAAGTAATTAATTAATTAATTAAATTTAATTTTTAATAAAAATTGATTTGATAATATGGTGCAATGATAACCATCAGCACGTCACGCACTCTGAATTTGGTGACGTTCACAACATCACGAGCACGTCACACAAACATCACCAGCACGTCACACTACCTTGAAGTTAGTGACGTTTACAACATCACCAACACGTCACACACACATCACCAACACGTCCCACAACATCACCAACACGTCACACTACCTTGAAGTTAGTGACGTTTACAACATCACCAGCACGTCACACTACCTTAAAGTTAGTGACGTTTACAACATCACCAGCACTTTGCACTACCTTGAAGTTAGTGACGTTCAAAACATCACCAACACGTCCCACACACATCACCAACACGTCCCACAACATCACCAACACGTCACACTACCTTGAAGTTAGTGACGTTTACAACATCACCAGCACTTTGCACTACCTTGAAGTTAGTGACGTTCACAACATCACCAACACGTCCCACAAACATCACCAACACGTGGCACAAACATCACGAACACGTCACACTACCTTGAAGTTAGTGACGTTCACAACATCACTAACACATCACACTACCTTGAAGTTAGTGACGTTCACATCACCAGCACGTCCCACAACATCACCAGCACGTCCCACATCACCAACACGTCACACTAACCTTGAAGTTAGTGACGGTATCACCAACGGAGTATATAACGGCCACGGGCACGGTCACGGTCTTGAAGGAGTAGTGGGGCGGGCGGGGACGGCCGTAGCGCCGCAGGTTCTCTGCTCTGCCGTAGTCGAACCGCTGCATGCCGCCTGCGTCCCAAGATATTGTTAATAAATAACATAATAATTTGAATAAATAATTGTTGTTATTTGCCCGGAAATTGTTAGTGAACACAAACTTTTGAATCAATAACTGTTATTAAATAATAAGTCATAGAATTATAATCCGTGATCGAATTATGTAATTTTACCCGCCTGCGCCCAGAAATTGTTAAGAAACGCAATAAACTTTTGAATCAATAATTGTAATAATTGTTATTAAGTAACAAGTCATAGAATTATATTCGGTGATCGAATTACGCAATTTTACCCACCTGAGCCCAAGAAATTGTTTATAAATGCTATAAACTTTTGAACATACAATTGTTATTAAATAAGCACAATAAAGTTTTGAATAAATAATTGTTATTAAATAATAAGTCATACAATTATATTCAGTGATCGAATTACGCAATTTTACCCACCTGCGCCCAGAAATTTTTAATAAATGAAATGAGTGTCATTAATTTGTAACATTATACAAAATCGTTCAATTATAATGATTTTTATTATGTTAAAACTTCTTCATAAAAACTTAACGAAAAATATTAAATACAATACATACATAATTATAATCATATATACATATGTGTGAAACTTAATTATGTACATATGCATATAAATAATTAAAATTGTAATTATAATAAATTATATTTCAATATAATAATAAGTAATTATAATCAATATAATAATAAGTATGGCATATATCAAAATTATTGAACGCTCACCCGATAAAATTGTAATTATATTTAATTATATATATATATATATAATAATAAACATGTTAAATATGAAAAATTATTGCAGGCTCACTCGATAAAATTGTAATTTTATTTAATTATGAATAAAAACAATAATAAATATGTTAAATATCAAAATATATATATATAATAAATATGTTTAAAAATAAAAATTATGTAAGGCTCACCCGAGCCCACGAACTGGCCGAGCTGCGCCAGGATGCGCACCGACGACGTCCCGCCGGGGAAGTGCGAGATGAACACGTCCGTGTAGTACTGGGGACGTGGGGACGTGGGGACGTTATAAATTATGGGTGAACATGGGGAGTGTAGTACTGGGGATTGGGGACGTGGGGACGTTATTAATTATGGGTGAACATGGGGAGTGTAGTACTGGGGACGTGGGGATGTGGGGACGTGGGGACGTTATTAATTATGGGTGAACATGGGGAGTGTAGTACTGGGGACGTGGGGACGTGGGGACGTTATTAATTATGTGTAAACATAGGGTGTAGTGTGCAGTTACTCATATACGGCAGTTAGATAGCATGCTCAATTATTCATATGCAGCCTTGTAGTTAAAAGTTACATTACGCAATTAATTAATTATTGTGCAATTTGTGTTGAGTATAACAATGATTGTCGGACTGAGGATTTTCGCAAAGGCATTTATTCACAATGGGTAAAGAACCCCATTGTGAGTAAATATCCATATATTTTATAAAACATTTATATTTCCATAGATTTTTGTGGTCCTATCAAAAAATTGTTAAGACCACAATAAAATTCTTAATTAAGACCACTTTTTGTTAAGACCACACAATTTGTGTGGTCTTAACAAAAAATTGTTAAGACCACAATAAAATGACAATAAAAAATAATTCATTCAAAAAATGGATTACATTATTACTCACTGGATCATGGGAACCCCGCACCTCCCCCAGGTAGAGGGGAAGGATGGCGTAGCAGATGAACATGAGGGGATTCTGGGGACCACATAAAGTGTTCGCTATGGTCGTGCGCTTGGTGTTCGGTACGAGGAACTCGTGAACTGCCGCTGCCTCGAACAGGTGCTGTGGAACAGTGGGAGTGAATAACAGTGTGGAACAGGTGCTGTGGAACAGAGGGAGTGAAGAACAGAGTGGAACAGGTGCTGTGGAACAGGTGGAGTGAATAACACAGTGAAACAGGTGATGTGGAACAGTGGGTGAAGAACAGAGGGTGAATAACAGAGGGTGAATAACAGAGGGTGAATAACAGAGGGTGAATAACAGAGGGTGAATAACAGAGGGTGAATAACAGAGGGTGAATAACAGAGTGGAACAGAGTGAGTGAATAACAGAGTGGAACAGAGGTGATTTAATATAAGTGGAACAGGGGGTGACTGAGTAGCATAACAGCACAACGTCGAAAAGGTGTCATGGAATGAGGGCTATTTAATTATTATTCTGCACTGCGGTAAGAATGCTTTCTGATAGACCCACACCAGTTCAAGATTTGCTCAATTATTTAAAGAACTTCTAACATCATGAGAAAGGGCTATTTCGTTTTATAAGCAGCGGGTCTCTGTAGCGTGTTTACATCACTAACATTGTGGCTACATTCTTTTGTAGAATGAAATGGAGATGTAATGTAAAGTAATGAATGGAGCAATGTAGAATGAACGGAGTTCACTTTACAAGAGCGAAATGGAGATAACATACATGGACATTTCCATTGTGGCTTTATCAAACAACATCCAAACAATTACAACATTCTTTGCCAACCTTATGTACCATAAATATCGAGCATGTGTTCAAATAATTGGTTATCCAATGTACCTTAAACTTCAAATATGTGCCAGCATTCTTGGTCAACATCAACCTTATGAAATACAAAATTCCTAAGTGCTTAACATCCGAAAGACAGGTGGTGACCATTAACATTGTTCTTAAACATCCGAAAGACATAGTGAACCATTAATATTACTCTGAAAAATAACAGTATAATGTTAATCGTACCCAAGTTTTGGCCATGAATAGCGCCATCTTCTTGATGAGACCCTCAGCGTTGTCCATGAAGCCGGCCGGCGCTAGCGCGACCATAAAGCGAACCTGCGCAGTTCAATAGGTTAGACGAAAAAAGCCTTTGCTTGGTGAGTAAGAATTTTAATGAAAAACTTATGTAATAAATGAGCTGTATAATGATAGAGTTGTGTAATGAAAAGGACGAATAGGGATAAAGTTTTATAATAAATAGGATATATAGGGATAAAGTTGTGTGATAAATAGGATGAGTACTCTTAATTGAACAGGGATATAATTTTGTAACGAGTATTTTGAATAGGGTCAAAGTTTTATTATGAATAGGATGGATAAGAATAAGGTTTCAAAGTGAATAGGATGGGCAGGGATAAAGTTTTGTAATAAAGAGGATAAATAGGAATAAAACTTTACAATGAATAGGATGAATATGGATAAAGTTTCGAAATGAATAGGATAGATAGGGATAGAGTTTTGTGATGAATAGGATAAATATGGAAAAAAATTTGTAATGAATAGGATGGATAGGGCCAAAGTTGTGTCATGCATGGAATTTAGAATCGGATAGTTCAAATGCGATGTAATATGACAAATTTGTGTAGTGTGTAGAATAAATAATTACAAATGTCGGTTACTGTGCACCTGGTCGTTGAGGTAGGGAAAGAGGTTGGTAGCTACCCACCTGGTCGTTGAGGTAGGGGTAGAGGTTGGTCACTACCCACCTGGTCGTTGAGGTAGGGGTAGAGGTTGGTAACTACCCACCTGGTCATTGAGGTAGGGGTAGAGGTTGGTAACTACCCACCTGGTCGTTGAGGTAGGGGTAGAGGTTGGTAGCACCCCAAAACATCACACACCCCAGCGAGTGGCCCACGTAGTACAGGTCTTTCTGCTGCGTCTTCTCCAAGATGTACGCGAACACCGCCGGGATGTCATACTGGATCACCTCGTCCAGGCTGGAAATTTTTAACAATTGGTTAGCATTTTTAGTAAAAATTACTTAATTACGATATTATTGTCGAGCGAGACTGTGGCATCGTTTAGACAATAACTTTATGATAAGTAATTTTTATGCGATATGGATAATCATCTCAATGGTTTGATTAGCGAGAATACATGATGAGGTAGTTCGCTCAACAAATGCAATAGGTAGGAACAATATTCAACTTAACTACATCATCAATACTATAGAAGTAATGGAATTACTTCGTTAGCATTAACGCCCCCTGAATTTTTTAAAACTTTGAGGTGTACCTAATCTACTACTTGTACCGAGACGCCACGTATACCTATACCGATATACGTGTACATAGGACGCTACATATACTTAAGACGCTACGTATACATAGGACGCTACGAGTACATAAGACGCTACGTATACATAGGACGCTACGTGTACATAAGACGCTAAGTATACAAAGGACGCTACGTGTACTTGAGACGCTACGTATACAAAGGACGCTACGTGTACATAAGACGCTACGTATACAAAGGACGCTACGTGTACTTGAGACGCTACGTATATATAGGACGCTACGTGTACACAAGACGCTACGTATACATAGGACGCTATGTGTACTTGAGACGCTACGTATACTTAAGACGCTACGTGTACATAAGACGTATACATAGGACGCTACGTGTATATAAGACGCTACGTGTACATAGGACGCTACGTGTACGTAAGACGCTATGTATACTTAAGACGCTACGTATACATAGGACGCAAACTATACATAGGACCTTACGTGTACTTAAGACGCTACGTATACAAAGGACGCTACGTCTACTTGAGACGCTACGTATACAAAGGACGCTACGTATACTAAGACGCTACGTATACATAGGACACTACGTATAATTAAGACGCTACGTGTACATAAAACGTATACATAGGACGCAAAGTGTACAAAGGACGCTACGTATACTTAAGACGCTACGTGTACATAAGACGTATACATAGGACGCAACGTGTACAAGGGACGCTACGTGTACATACTACACAACGTGTACAAAAAACGCTACGTATACAAAGGACGCTACGTGTAATTAAGACGCTACGTATACAAAGGATGCTACGTGTAACTAAGACGCTATGTATCCATAGGACGCATCATGTACAAAAGCAAGTTGTGACGGTGCGGTTCCCCGTTTATATAGCATATTACCACAGCTGTTTTTTGGCTGACCTGAACTGCCAGTAGTCGGTGTGGTCTGGGCTGAGGCGGACGTGTCCTCTGCTGTACGAGTTGCCGCGCCAGTTGGCCAGCCAGACGTCGTAGCCTGCGTCCGCTAACACGTACGCTGTACAAAATACAGACTTATTCATTATTACGCTGTACACATCATACAAACTTATTCGTTTTCACCGCTGAATTCTCAGCTGTACACATCATACAGATACATTCATTTTCACCGCTGAATTCTTACGCTATACACATCATACAAACTTAGACATTTTTACTACTGAATTATTACGCTGTACAGTCAGTACAGATCATACAAGCTTATTCATTTCGCCACTGAAGCTGTACACATCATACAGACTTATTCATTTTCACCACTGAATTTTCAGCTGTACACATCATACAGACTTATTCATTTTTACAACTGAATACTCAGCTGTACACATCATACAGACTTATTCATTTTCACCACTGAATTTTCAGCTGTACACATCATACAGACTTATTCATTTTCACCACTGAATTCTCAGCTGTATACATCATACAGACATATTCATTTTCACCACTGAACTCTCAGCTGTACACATCATACAGACTTATTCATTTTCAACGCTGAATTCATTCAATGTATACATCATACAGACATATTCATTTTCAATACTGAATTCTGCGGCCCATAAGAACACTTCCTTCTAAAGTTAGTGTCTTGACTTGAATAGAAAGCGTGCTTGATGAATAGCGATTGTATACTAATGACAGAGCTTGAAAATATCGTTTGCTGCCAATGAAATATTATATATTCAATCATTTCTGATGAGCAATGTAATTCCACTAACCTAAGCAAATTTTTCTTACTATTGTTATTCCACAGCGAAAATTTAATTTATTTATTTATTTATTTAATTTATATAAAAGACGAATATAAAATTTAGGAATATTAGATATAATATAATAATAATCAATAGAATCACAAAAAAGTCAAAACAAAACAAACAAGGAAAATTTTAATGAAGAAGATAAAGAATTGGGAATATTAAGTTTATGTAATAATAATTAATAAAATCACAAAAAAGCCTCAAAACAAAACAAACAAGCACTATTTTGATTAATATAAATAAAAGAAGATGTTAAAGAATTCGGAATATTAAGTATAAAATAATAATAATTAATAAAATCATAAAAAACGTCAAAACAAAACAAACGAGCAAAATTTTGATGAATATAAATAAGAAAATAATTGAAATAATTGGGAATATTAAGTATAAAGTAATAATAATAAATAAAATCACAAAAAAAATCATCAAAAGCAAAAATTTAATGAAGATAAATAAAAGAAGAATATAAAGAATTCTGAATATTAAGTTTAATACAATAATAATCAATAAAATCACAAAAAAAACGTCGAAACAAAACAAACAAGCAAAATTTTGATAAATATAAATAAGAAAATAATTGAATTAATTGGGAATATTAAGTATAATAAAATAAAAATTAATAAAATCGCAAAAAAACGTCAAAACAAAACAAACAAGCAAAAATTCAATGAAGATACATAAAAGAAGAATATAAAGAATTCGGAATATTAAGTTTAATGTAATAATAATTAATAAAATCACAAAAAAGTGTCGAAACAAAACAAGCAAGCAAAATTTTGATGAATATTAAATAAGAAAATAATTGAATTAATTGGGAATATTAAGTATAATAAAATAATAATTAATAAAATCATAAAAAAGCATCAAAAACAAAAAGTTTAATGAAGATAAATAAAAGAAGAATATAAAGAATTCTGAATATTAAGTATAATATAATAATAATTAATAAAGTCATAAAAAACATCAAAACTGTTAGTGGCACGGACCCAAAGCCTGATGGGCGTCGTGGAGGACAAAGTTTGCGGAGGACGACAGCCACCCGTGATGCAGCAGCACCACGGGCCTCCCCGTGGCCCCCGCGTCCCCGTCCCGTGACCCGAAGAACTTGGACACACTCATGTCCCGACGCTGGGAGAAGTCCAAGCTAGAACTCCGGTTCTTGAAGAAAAGAGGTTCGGGCTTCGGTTCTGAGGGCTCTGTGTTCTTGACTAGTCTTGATGGAGGTTTGAAATGGAATTGTGAAGGTTCTCCGATAGAGGGAAAAGGTTTGTTGAAAAGAGGGTTGAGTGTGTTTGTTACAGATCTGAATGGATTGAATAGGTTCAAAGGCGTTAAGATTTCATTTAAGTCTAAATCACGTTTCGGTCGTGGTGGTTGGTCACTTTCAAACGAAACTGAATCGTCGAAATCGAAAATAGAGTTCGAGAACATCATTTTCATCCAGCTTTCCAACTCTTTTTCGGTGTCGTTTGATTCTAGATTTTGTACGAGGATTTCAGTGGAGTTTACTAATTTTTCCAAGTCTGTTCCCGAGTTTCTTTTACTGCGGCTGCTAACCTGGCGTAAACCTTTGCCGTAACCCGCTAAAAATTTTTGGAATAATTTTAATGTTGGGATCCCAAAAGGCGCCGAGTTTTGCTGATTCTTTCTCCTTGGAAGGACAATTTTATCTGAAAAACGAAAATGATTTAAGATTTTGAGCAATTTTGCTAGTGGCGGTTAACTTCGCGTGATCAACACATCGACATAACGTTCAGGTTTTAAAGCCTTTAAATTATTGAACTACATTCAAGAGGAATTTATCAGTATTAAATAAAACAGTACTAATTTTATTTGACACTATTTCTGTATATAAAGCTATTTTCACCACATCCAGGCTACATTAAATTTTCAAATTATAACTCTCTGAGTCAATAGTTAGATGATAAAACTACCCTATCCTCACCTTTGGATTAATTCAACAGTCATCTTTAAACTAAACTGTTAGCCAACATTATGATAAATGTACTAATCATCCCCCATACTCGAAAACAAAAATTCACTTCGATTTACGAAATAAATTTGCTCAACTTGTTCAATAATTTGGAAAAATGTGAAATATTGTTTCGTATTCGCTATGCCTCAAAGAACCTTTTGACATAAGTTACGTGCAAAGCAGTAAGGAAAGAAGCGATACAATGGTTCGTAATGGCTCTATTTGAATGAACATTTGACGTAAACTATTTGCAAATCAGTACGTAGAGATTGTTTATGTTTTGCATTTAATATACTTTAAACAGAAGTGATGCTTAAATAAAAAAATATAACTCAGTACTCACTGCAGTGAGTGACAGAGAACGCATTTTCTCGTCTACGAAAACGTGAAGTCACGGACGGACAGACAGACAGACGGACGGACGGACAGACGGACAGACGGACAGACGGACAGACGGACGGACGGACATAACGAGCACAATAGGGCCTTTTTTCCATAACTGAGAAAATGCGCTAAAAATCAATATAATTGTTCGTAGTGGCTCTATTTGAATTAAAATTTGACAATTGTAAAGCAGTACGTAGATATGTGTCTATGTTTCGTATATAATATATTTTAAACATAAGTGATGTTTAAATACAAAAAGAAGACATACCGAGCTGCCGTGGTCCCGGTATGCGGTGCAGCTCCAGGATGTAGCCGTCCGCAGTGACAACTTTGTGGATCTCGCTGGGGTAGCCCTGGGCCTTGATCAGCTCAGGCTGTCCGCGAGGTATTGGATACGAAATTAAAATCTATTAATATTATGTATTATGATATATTTATATTAATATTATGTATTATAATTAACATGTATTAGTATATATTGATGTTATATAGTTAAGCGCTAGGCCTTTAATAAATGCTGGGGTAGCCCTGGGCCTTGATCAGCTCAGGCTTTCCGCGAGATATTTCAAACCAAATTACTTATGTATCAATATTAGGTATTATAATTAATATGTATTAATATTATGTATCAAAATTAATATGCATAAATATGTATTGATGTGATCAAGTTAAGTATAATTATAAATGTTGGGGTAGCCCTGGGCCTTGATCAGCTCAGGCTGTCCGCGATATATTTCAAACAAAATTAATCATGTATCAATATTAGGTATTATAAATACGTATTAAAATTACATATTATAATTAATAAGTATTATAATTATATTTATTAATATATATTGGTGTGGTCAAGTTAAATATTAATAAATGCTGGGGTAGCCCTGGGCCTTGATCAGCTCAGGCTGTCCGCGAGTTATTTGAAACGAAATTAATTATGTTTTAGTATTATGTATCATAATTAATATGCATTGGAATATTTTGATGAGACCAAACTAAGTAATAATAAACGCTGTGATAGCTCTGCTCTCTGATAGACAATGAAGGTTCAAATTAGGCTGGATCGAAATTAGTATTTTAACGAATAATTACATGTACTTATGAACACCAAGAAAATCCATCTACTTCTTATAGGAAGAAAAACTTCCTCTTGATTTTTTTAATCAAATGACTTGTGTTGATAAAAAAGTTAAAAATATTACCACTCATTTAATTTCAATACGATGCATAATCCTAAATCTAAATTCGAAAAAACAACTCCATTGCGCTAGGAATTAACTGCTTACAAGTTAAATAGTTTTAAAAAAGTCGAGCTTTACTCACAATCTTCATGATGGAGTGCAATCTGTTCATGCTGTTGGTGAATGAGAAACTGCGAGAAGTTTCATCCATCCCTCCATCCCCTCTACCATCATCCACACTCCTCTTACTTCTTCCACTCCTTTCCCTCCCTTCATCCTTTGCCTTGTTCACTCCTCTTCTAACTTCGTTCGCAAGGAAGTCGTCAAGCCAGTGAGTATCATAAGTTTCTTCTTTTTCCTTCGGTTTAGATTTTACTTTCGATTCCGTAGTGCGAATAATGTGTAGAAGCTTCTGAATTTCCCCGGAATTCACGAATTTTGGATTTCGTTTGCTGTTTGACTGGAATTTCTTGCGCTTCTTATGGGCCGCGTGTTCATTTCTGTGCTGGTTTTCGGTCTGGGATTCTTGGACTTTTTTCTTCGTTGCGGAAAAGCTAGAAAATCTTTCCGTTTTTCCGTGATGCCCGAAAATTTTTAGGCTCATTTCTTCGGCGGGTAAATTTTGTAAGCCTATTTTATCATTGGGTAAATTTTGTAGGCTTATTTCTTCGGCAGGTAAACTTTTTGAGCTTATTTCTTCGGCGGGTAAATTTTGTGAGCCTATTTTATCATCGGGTAAATTTTGTATGCTAATTTCTTCGGCGAGTACACTTTGTAGGCTTATTTCTTCGGCGGAAAAACTTTGTAGGCTTATTTCTTCGGCGGGTAAATTTCGTAGGCTTATTTCTTCAGCGGGAAAACTTTGTAGGCCTATTTTATCATCGAGTAAATTTTGTAGACTTATTTCTTCGGCGGGTAAATTTTGAAGGCTTATTTCTTCGGCGGATAAATTTTGCAGGCTAAATTTATCATCGGATAAAATTTGTAGGCTAATTTCTTCGGTGGATAAATTTTGCAGGAATTCGCCATGAGCAAAGCCATTTGTTGTCCATAAGGAACACGACGAGTTCAGGAAACATTCCTGAGACACATGGCTGGTGATGACATGTGCGTATAGCACTATTATCCTGGACATCCAGAATACCAGTAGAAATATTTCACTTAAGCGAAACATGCTAACTTTTTAATCTTATTAACTTTTGATTTAATGTCATCTAATGAAACCTTGGCACATTATTACCTATAGATTGTAATATATCGTCTATTGAATCGTAAGTCTATTGAATCATGTATCACATATGCATAAAAATTAGTTTATGCTAGAATTTTTTACCTGGAAATGAATAAACAAAATGTATTAGCTCGATTACTAATTATTTATAATTAATTGGTAACTTTCTATACAATTATCCACTCGTTTGTAACTATTAGCTCAGTTATTTATTGTATAAACTTGAAACTGAGAGAATTCATCGATCATACCGTGACATTTCAGTTAAATAAATATTTCAAAACCAAAATCTAGGTGCGTTACAAAATTTGTTAGGTTTTACACAATCAAAGTTCTTCAACATTTTATTTTGAATGTACCAATTTAACAAGAAACGTCGACGAGAACAGCAATGATTAGCTTTTTAAAGGCAAACTTAAAAAATTTAAAATTTAATAATTTCCAATCTTAATTAAAATCTAAGAATTGGCTGCTCCTCTGGTTGTTGCATCAAATTTTATTGGTTTAATAAATTAATGGTAGTATTGACCAAGCAGTAGAGGGACCACTGCGTTATATACAGCTGCAGGCAGGTAGCTAGGATTTAGGCCCATACTTTCAAAACTCGCTAATTGAAAGTAAATGCTTACGCTCTTTTTTCTTTTCTATGATTGGTGGATTTTGCTTGAAAGGCCGTCAATGATTGGTTGATGAACTCACGATCTCTTAAATTTTTTAAAGTACTGTTGCGGTTGCGGTTGCGGTTGGTTCAGGGTTGATCGAGAAGGATCATGACGTCGGCATGACGTAACGATGAAATATAAGAAAATGAAGTTCCCGCTGTGACGTCAGAAAGTCAATACTGCAGAAAATAAAACTTTAGTTAAGATCAAACCTCAAGGCAATCGTCTCACAACACAATTTTACCATTGTCATAATATAGATCCACCGTATATATGATGCAACAACTAACAACTAACTAACATATATGATGCAACAACTAACCTGAGGTTTTTAATGCAAGTGTTTGTACTTTCGGTTGAAAAATTTAATTTTGAAATTTAGAGAAACTAAGTAGAAGGGGTAGGAAGTTGGACTGAGAAATACAGAAAGAATAGCAAGAGGTTTAACTGAGTTCGAAATTAGATCGAAGATTTGAACTAGAATAGCATAAAATAAATAATGAATCTGAGTATTTCTCTGATATAATTAACGAATTTAAATAGATACTTTGATAATCTAATCGGACCAGCCGAGCTTTAATTTGAAATATTGAATAAACTTGACTAGAGTAAATGAAGTGCTATTGAATGTTAACAGATGTAATCTTTAACCAAGGTCCAACTTCCCACAGAAGCAAATTAGGCATAGAGTTGGTGCAACAAAATATAACGAGAATTGACACGACATTCCCGCAAACCAAGGGATAGAGAATCAGTTTCATGTGTAGAATTTTAAGGATACTTAACCGACTTAACCGACGAATGGATACTTAAGGATACTTAATAACCATTCATCGGTTAAGTACTTTTAAGGATACTTAATAACCACTGTTGCAGATGCTAATTCGCAGATAACACTGGTCACTGTATATGGGAAAATCACGGGACCAACCAAGCTCATTACGTAGGACTGATTGGATCAACCACTGCTCCGCACTGCATAAAAAGTGTAACTCAGTACTCACTGCAGTTAGTGACAGAGAGCGCATTTTCTCGTCGATGAAAACGTGAAGTCACGGACGGACAGACAGACAGACGGACGGACGGATATGACCAGCACAATAGCGCCTTTTTCCATAAATGAAAAATTACGCTATAAATGAGGCCCAGATGAATGAATTTCAGATATCTTCTTTTATAGGACCTCTGTAAACTAGTCCATGCAGCCTTTTGCCTAAACTGGGTTAGTTGGTGTCTCACAGTTAACAATCTTAAAATCAGTTAAACGTGATAAAAAAACTGTGAAAATTTGATTTCCCCAGAGCTTGTCCACCCTGTACCCAACACAGCCACGTCCGCACAGTCGGACGAAGAACGACCGCACTGTGCGCCAGAAACAAATTATTTTATATTCACTATATTATCATGGAAGATTACTTTGCGGTGAAATTTCAGAAATTATCGGTGAGAAATTCAGAATTTCTCACAAACTTACATTAATTAAGAGCGGCTTTCAAATGTGGGTCGTTTACTTTGATAATAAACCTCATCATGCAGAGAAATGTAGGAGACTTTGGACAAATGGCTTTGCATTTTTTTCCTTTGTGTGGAGCACATGACCCGATTTGACCCGACCAAAGGACCTATCAGTGCTACGTACAGAAAGTGTCGCAATTTTACAACATTACAACATTTTACAACAATTATTTTACTCTGAGCGACGGATAACACCCAAATATATAGGCCCTGTTTACAAGACCATCCACTGGGACATCATCGCGTGGGGTAGCAGTGCAGCGTAGATTAATGAAGAAATTAAAGTAAACATAAGTAGAAGTAGCACCAGTACCCTAACAAAATTTAGAGTCGCCCCAGCTTCTGGTAATCCAAATCAGAAGCTGCCTCGTCTGTAAATTTTCACTGGGAAGGAACAGCGCCCTTATAGCAGCTGTTGTTGCCGTAGCAGCAGCGTTATTAGCAGCTGTTGTTGCCGTAGCAGCAGCGCCATTAGCAGCTGTTGTTGCCGTAGCAGCAGCGTTATTAGCAGCTGTTGTTGCCGTAGCAGCAGCGTTATTAGCAGCTGTTGTTTCCATATTAAAAACGCTGTAGTTGGAACTTCAACTCGCAGTTATATATATATATAGCAAAGGTTGGGTTGTTAGCCACCGCGTGGCAATTAGAAGGCGTTCACGTCACACAGCGGGGGTGGTGTCTTCAGAATGTGGCGGTGTGGGGGGACTTGGGTGAATTAATTGATATCTTGTCAGTAACTTGTGCGCTAGGGGACTGGGTGGACTTAACTGATATCATATCAGTAAATTGGCGCTTCAGAATTGACCTCAAAACTCCTGTTCGGAGTTTGAATCGCAAAATGCGCAAGGTTTTCTCCCAAATAAGTTCCTGTTTAATTCAACTATCCTTCTGCAGCGTTTACAGCAAAGCTACACTCAAAAAAATATAACTCAGTACTCACTGCAGTGAGTGACAGAGAGCGCATTTTCTCGTCGACGAAAACTTGAGGTCACGGACAGACAGACGGGCGGACAGACATACGGACGGACGTGACGAGCACAATAGGGCATTTTTTCCATAAATGAGAACATGCGCTAAAAATGAGTGAGGCTATGTCCAAATACAGATTAATATTTGTTAATGTGTGGGTCATCCTAACCCAGTTTGGCAAGGCAAAAAATTAAGCATATCAGTGTCATCTGTCCGTGCTTTGAACGTGAAAGTGTTTCACTAGTTGGACAGAATGACGCATTAATTTTTCTTATTTTTCGCAGCGTTTCAGCGTTTAAAATTGATTGTAATTTTGCTTCTGCATCAAAAACAAGCATCATTTTCGAAATCTTTGTGTTGTATATCTTATATCACTTGATTTCATTTATTAAACGTTACCTCAAATAGAAATAAATAAAGGTCTAGTGTTGGTTTCTTAAGAAGCATTTTATTCCATGAATCAATACGTCAATAATTGCGTACTTACGTAGGCTTCTATTTTACAATAATTTTGATCGACGTTCTCTCTATAACTTATCAAGAATGGTTACCTATGCTTGTTACTCACTGGTTGATCATTGGTAAATTAGAGGTTATTCACTGGTTACTCATTGGTTAATCATTGGTAAATTAGAGATTATTCACTGTTTACTTAATGGTTAATCATGGTAAATTAGAGTTTATTCATTGGTTACTCACTGTTAATCATTGATAAATTAGTTTATTCACTGGTTAATCATTGTAAATTAGAGTTTATTCATTGGTTACTCACTGGCAAATTCAAGGTTATTCAATGGTCACTGTTCGTTCACCCATTACGCACCAATAGTCAAGGTGAATCAATAAGGAAGTGGAGCTAGCGGGGCATCTTTTCCATCAGACTGCATTACTGCCAGCCTATACTGTGCTGCAAGGGCATGTGGGTATACGTGGGTATGATGACTAGACATGGATGATAGTGCCTGACGGATGATAT